GTTATTTATTTTCCAATTTTTCAAACAGTAACTTAAGAGCTCCAGAACTCATCATTCATTTATAATGTTATTATTCACAAAAATATGTGAACTATAATGATTATCATTAATTCACATTAGAGTATAAATACTAAATGTGTGCAATAGTTAGAGTGAAGGCATTTAACCCGTGAAATAAAAATTATTAGTCAACGTGTAATAGTCAAATAGACATAAAAGAAAAGAATGGAATTAGGGTCTACTAAAGTGTATTAGTCTAACATCTATTTCACGGGTTTAATCACTTAACTCATAGTAGTAAATAGCACCAATTAAACAAAAGAAAACAATAGAATTAGCATAAGATAACACTATTTAGTGATATTTATGTTTCACACATTTAGCTTTTGTACTCTACTTCACAACTTTATGCAATAATTAATGACATATAAATAAAGATTATCGCTATCATTACAATTAAAATAATTTCATATTTAAGTAATCACCAATTTAGTCAAAGCCTGAAACAACCTCTCGGCTTAACCAAGTCAGGAATCGAGCGGGGTAATCGAGAGTCAGGGCACTCGCGTGTCACTGACTCCTAGGTCTCGTTTTTGATTCCTGTCATCGCACGTTTGTTACGTCAGAGTTTGTTTCGTCTCTCCCTTGACTCGAGAGTTTTTTCTTCAGGTTCTCCGGTTTTCCTCCATCCACAAAACCTAACACGCTCAATTCCAATTTCATCTGTGTGTTAGCCGTGCCCTGACTTAGATCAGCACAGAGCCGGATTATTTCAGGATTTGATAAAATTTGAATGGCACAGATCAAATTTGGATTTAGCATTATTTTTTTTTGAAGAAAGGAAAACGGAGAAGAACGAGAAATACCCTCAAAGCAAGGGAGAGAACCAAACAACTCCACCCAAATGTGATGCCTATTATTAGTATTATAGTAATGTATCTCCTTATGCTAGTAAACAAAAACAAGCAAAAAAATACTTAAGAAAATGACACGTGGTTGATCTGAAATGGGGAAAATGTTATAATCCAAACCATCTATTATGGCACAGTCGTCAGATATATTCATTGTTAAGGCAATGTACGCTGCCAGCTGTCCCTTTATTTTGCGTTTTTTTATTTTGGTGAATTTTTTCCCAACTTTTAATAACTGGGAAGTAAACGACAAAAGGCGCCTTACACCTTATCCCCCGGGGGTTTCATGGCTCAGCCGTAACCCTTGCTCGGTCGAAGGAAAATAGAGGTACTACTGGCAGTTTACTAGGGATAAAATGAATTGTCAAAATATTAATAATTTTGAAAATGTATTACATATTATATTAATATTAATTTATTTTTTTGAAATGAATAAATCTCCATGCATTTTTGCAAAGACATTTTCACATACCATACTTATGAAAGAGATTATAACAAACCGGCCATGAAATAAAATGAGATCTTTTTATTTTCAACGAAAAAAATTAAAATTAGAAAAGTAGTTCCCGGTCACGCCACGCGCGCAAGCTTGATTGTACAAATCATTCCAAGTGTTCGGCATTGCTAGCTATTTTYTYGTAACCAGGCCTGCATGACAAAATTAACTCAAAACTTGTTAGTATTGAGCCTGTTCATAAACCAATTGGATATTTTCTTTCTTTCTTTGCTTTTGCAAATTATAGGCTGGTTATTGGATCTTCTTCTTATTTCTATTATATTTTTTTGTTCTGCAAATCCTTGGAATGTTACACCACTACTTCTGTACGTTAGTTTTAGCTCATTTCCATTTCCTGTGCACCCAGCCTGCAAGACCCCTGGCCACAGCCCTGCTGTGGAAACATGATTTTAGAACTTTCACTGTTTTGATTTATTAAAACAGGACCATACTTCCAGACATCGAGTGCTGAACCGTCGTATGGCAGCGCGAAGCATTTACGGCTATGCCGGAGATTTCGACCCCTACACCGCTATCCGAAGAATTACAGACTGATCAGGAAGCTCGGCCGAAGCCTAAGGGAGAGGTTAGTCGGCCCCTAGACCGTAGATGATTAACTCCTTGCTATGACCAGCAAACTCAAATTTTTGATTTGGACGCTGATGGCTTTGAACGCATACTTATTCCTTTCCATGTGGGATGCATTTAAACGGACTCGTGCATCATAGCTAGTAAATTTGATCTATTTCGAGGTTTATCTGCCGTGGAAATATGATTTTAGGATTTTTACTTATAGATTCATTAAACAAGGACCATACTCCTACTAGACATCGAGGGCTAACTAGATAAGCTGCAGATTTCGGCCCGAAAACTAAATGGAACGTGCATCGTAAGTTTGATTTCACTGTTAAATAAGCGGATGTTCTATAAAAGCTTGTCTTCATGATAAGAATCAGGGTGGTAAGCAAGGGGGTGCATTGGGTGCACGTGCATCCCCACCCCCTACCCACCCCCGCGCAAAAGCTGAAGGTCCGCTGACTCATTCTTATTTTTTTATCCACTTATGTGTAAATTGCCAGTAGCATCTTAACTATCGCTCACCCAGTATTGAATTTTGTCAGGCCTTGGCGAAGTGCCAAGGGAGTTAGAGGTTGGGGCGAGGTCTGACACTCCGCCTTATATATACCGCAAATATATGCAGCCACAAAAATCGCGAAAGCAATACGCCAAAAAAATGTAATGTTGTAGAGTCATGACATTGTAGGACAGGAACAACGAAATATTTGTGTATGACAAAGCATTTCATTTTGCTAAGGAACAATTTTGTCATGATTTTGTATTGATTTACACAACATGGCTACCATGAAACTGTGAATCTGAGATTGGGCTTCCTGTGCATCCAATTTTTTGAAGATCGGTCGTTGCTATAGAAACACCMACAGGATCGCGCCACCTTAACACCCGAGGTGCACTGGGTCTAGTGTTTTGGCTGAAGGGATTTACAAACCGACACGTCAACCGCGAACCAAAAACATGGCGAAGTAGAGGAAGAAACTGCCTAAAATCACTACTTTAAATCCCTATTCTGGGGAAAATGGAAAAGAAATACAATCTTAGAAGCCCAGGTAAACTACTTGAAGTCCAAAATGGCACGAAAGTWTGTTCTTTGTTGATAAAATAGAAGTTAATCTTGCTGACATTTTCTGTTTCTTGTTGTTCTGTTTCTTGTTGTTCGTGTTCTCAGCTGTGAAGCGGTTGATGAGAGAAGCAAAAGAGCTTCATCAAGCTACAGAACTCTACTATGCTCAACCTCTAGAGGTAAAAACTGCTTATAAATCGTCCTGCTGAATAAAACTCTATCTGAGAGCGATAAAGAATTTAAGCTTAAATTTTTGCAGTAAGTTTAATAAATTATRCCAAAGCATTTTTTCCATATTCACCATCTTAGTGGGACCCTCAGACGTCTTTATCTGTTAATAGGATTTATTTATTTTTTATTCCTGTTCGCCAAAATCTTAGTTAAATCCCCTGAGAATTTAGTTTCTATATTTAATAATTTTAAACTAGCTTTTTAGTGGAGTTGTGGCGGTATTGGAAATACATGTACATGTAGTTATAAGTATATCCTTATCTAGGGGAATGCATAGGGGTCGTATGCTGCACCCATATTTTGGATACAGTTACAGATGCGTTCAGATGAGTTGATTAGAATGGAAAGCTATGTAGATGAGTCTGTAAGAGGATAGGGTTGATAAAATTTCCTTGTCTAGTAAAAATCACAGACATTGTCACATCCAATGATATACAGCTGCCAAGGGATTAGCTATTCAGCTGGTGTGTCGTTGAAACAGATAAGACTGGAAGTATCTGTCTGTGTGTACTCTTCAGACAGCTGATGATGTGACTTGGTGCTATGTTCCATGCTGCTTTCGTACTGCTACAGCAGAGTGCATAACATTATCCTTGAAAAATTTTGTAAGAAATTGCACAAATTCGCACAAATTAGTATGTTCCGTAGACCTCAGT